TTATTATTATTATTATTATTATCATTTTGCCGCTTTCTGCGAGATTGTCAATAAAATCACGGTTTTCTGAGACAAGCCACCCAAGTACCAATGCTTGGTACTATACTCTTTAGTTATTACTAAAAAGGCCTGCACTCTTTGGAGACTGAGATGTTTAGCTGGTTTGTCCTCTCCACCAAGAAGCTAGAAATTTAAGAGAACGTTAATAGTGTTTTAAAAGAAAAGTCAAAGATATGAAACAAACTTGACGTTTCGATGGCTTCATGTCTTCATTATCAAAAGCTAAGAAAGTAACATGATTGGTGGGCATATTAAATATAGACAAAAAAAGTGCGTAAAAGGGCAGGTAAACAGTAAATAGTGTTAAAAGGGAAACAGTAAGATGTGATAACAGAGATGTCTAGGGTGACTAATGACTGGGAAGACTGAGATGACTGGGATGATTAGGGCGAACTATAGCCTAGCAATATGCCACGCATGCTCATTAAAGATTTTACTCGATTCATGCACAGTCTTTCTCCAGTTCACCAAAATCAAGCAAACAAAAGAAAGGAAGACTCTACTTATAGGGTGGGGGTAAAGGTATTCGCTGGCGACTGCTGACAGGGTGGGGGTAAAAGTATTCGCTGGCGACTGCTGACAGGGTAGGGGTAAAGGTATTCGCTGGCAACCTGATGGTTGTTATTTTCAATCAGGAATTTAAGTTTAATATTCCAAAGGAACTTCAACTTACCAGGAACAGCCATCTTGTGGTACTCTTCAGGTTGCTCTAAGTGATCAATATTACCACGCATGAACATCTTAGAGGTGTCTGAAGAAAAGTGGCTGTTTACAAAAGTATTAAAATCATAATATTATTATGCTGCAGCTGGAATCGTCTAAAATAAAAGCTAAGCACACTTGGATTTGTGCCCATGAATTCTGTAATAATAACTAAGCCAGATGCAACAGTCCCCCACCGTAAAGTTCCAAAAGTAACGGCCCTCCTCACTTTCGGATTTAGTAGCCTTCTCCTGCTACTTTTGGCGGCTTGCTAGTTTCGGGTAGCTAAAACGTGTACTGTACATGGGCCGAGCCGTTCGAAGTTACGGTAATAACATCGCACAGAATGTGAAAACATCCACACATCATATTGAAGAAACTTATTTCAAGTTATTGCTTTGAATAATAATTCCAAAAAATGTAATTAAACTTTAAGAGATTTTATAGTCATGTCCTTTGAACAGGAATGACAAAGATCATTATTATCGTTAAAAATATATTTCGAATCAGTTTGATATGCCTATTATATTTCCTTTATTTCATGCAAAAAAGCGAAATTACGTTTTAGGTCGGTACTCTCGGAGGGTCATTATTTTAGGGGGATCTCTACTTTCCGGATTTTCTTACACCTGTGAAAGGCTCCTCACTTTCGAAACTTAACGGAAAGTGGAGTGGCCGGGTGTAAAACCTTAGCGGCAAGCGGTGAAGGCGCAACCTGGCTCCATTTGTTCAAATGGTGAGTAGTGTTTCCCCAGGATAACGTAAATGATTATCTACTGGGCAGTGATTTCTGCGGTAGATAGTGGTATTTAAGTTTTACTAAACAACCTAACTCTGGACGCTGCAGAGATTTTTCATTTGCGGGTTCCGGACTTGGTCAAGTCTTTAAAAGTGTCTTAACTTTTTTTCGCGAAAACTCGAACTTCACTTGCCTGCGTAGCAGGCGCTTGAAAGTACTGAATGGGCGCAAGAAGGAACGGTTGGCGGGAGGGAGAATGCAAAGTCATTCATAGAGCACTTCGAAGGCAAGGTGCGCTTTTAACCCATTCGCTCCTGGAGATTTTGCCGAAAAACGCGTTTTGAAGCTAGTCGAGCGGTTTTCTGGTGACTGTCGTGCTATAAAGAGCTAAAACTTACCACAAACCGGTTTACAGGTCGTACACTTCGCGGCCTTCTGATTCAGATGCAAAATATCAGCTTGCGAAGTTCGGGCATGCGCAGAAAGCAAAATTTTTGGGGGGTTTAAAAGTGACACAGCAGTCTTGACTTTTACTTTTCGCTTTCTCTCCTCGCTTCTTTTTTCACTTTTCTTGCCTCATTTTTTTTCGCTTGCTGGGCATTTAGTAGGGTTCATTTTGGTGGGAAGAGTTTTTTAGGAAAGCTTTTAGGATCTTAGGATAAGGTGAAAGGAAAGGTAGGTGAGCAATGGAGCAAGATTTTCATGGAGATTTTCAGGTCAATGTCACGTGGTTTTTTGCTTCTTTCTCCGGTGTCCTTGACTGAATTGTGCTCATTCTGGTACGATTTGAAAGATCTCTTCACTCTGCACAAGTTAACGAAGAAAGTTGTCCTTGACCGTTAAAACTGATGACGTCACAAAGGGTGGAAAGGACCTGGATCCGCACGGGCGGTTACGGGCGGTTCAGGGGCGAATGGGTTAAGCACATGCCTATAAGCATTACATAACTCGACCAATACCATCCCCAAGAGACTCGTAAATGTGACCTAAAACTTACGACATTGCAAGTGAATCGGCATGAAACATATTGGTTGGTGTATGTGTTTTGTTTAAGTTAGTCATCATCATTTGCATTCTTTTTATTATAGTCTTGCGTTAATGACAAAACTAACCAGCCAATAATTCTTCTCTCGCGCGCCTCCCTTGCGCACCTCGTTCTTTCCTGCTCTTCCAAGCACCTGCGAGGCAGGGTAAATCTTCACCGAGAAAGTGTCAGCTGTTGGCTAACTGCGACGCTTTCCATCGCTTGAGAGAAAATACCTTTGGTACCCAGGGTATGAAGTCGTGACTGTGACTGTGGATTTGGTTTGAAAGATCTTTCCCTCGCTGAACAAGTGGTTGGGGTCGCTTACACAAGAGGTGGTCTTTTATGAGAAGTTTCAACTAATGTATAGGACTTGGAATGGGAACATTTTGGTGTTTTGGATACACGATCCCATAAAGAAGCCAGTCGCTTATGAGGGGTGGTTGGACATGGAGGTTTCATAACTGTAATAAATTATTATGCTAACATTTCTAACCTGTTTAAATCCTCACTGTTTGCCCAGATTTCATAAACCATAAATGTATTTGTTCCCGTGATAGTGCGCACACCAAGGCTGCAACGGTGGAAATAATTATGATCATGTTGATTACTTTCAACGTACATTATCTGTATTTTCAAGGGAAGAATAACCATTTGCTAACTGATTTAAAAGCCTAAATGCCAGGCATTTTTTTAGGCTACAGGGTTTGTGCCTCGTAACTGGGTCAAAATAATTAGGGAGCTTTAAGCAACAACGACGGCGACGGCAACAAGAACGGCAAAAAACCAATAGGTTTGGATTGGCAAAACAACAACTTTGCACATGCATCACGATTTTTGTACATTTTTTTGCCGTCGATGCACGACCACAACGTGAAAATGCCTAATTTCGTGTTTTGTCGTGGACGTGAACACAAGACAACGACTTTCTTTTTCTTTTCCTGAACTTTGATACAGTCTTTTTGAATTCAGCTCCAGAAAAATTTGCCAACATTTGACGAATTGAACGAATTGGAACAAGCCCGATAAAGTTTGAAGTAGTGCAAATTTACTTTTTAAGTGACGTTTTCGAAGCCGTCACCGTTGTTTTTGCTTAAGCGCCCTATAAATATTGCCAGGAACTTACTGCAAACAGCCTTCTGCCATTGATGTTGACGCTATGTAGCTCTTCAGATTTGAACGAAAAGCCTTTCCTGCCTTGGAATGAACTTGGAATTTCCTAGACACCAAAACCACCTGAAAAGCCACACAGAAAAGAGTTTGTTTCCTACGAAAGAAGCTGGGGCCGGAGTCATGCTCATAGTAGCCGAGGAGATCCCTGGACCCCGACACAAAGTGACAGCCCTGCACTGTATTATACCAGTACTTCAGGGATAACAAATTTTTAATAGACAAAGTATAAATGGAATTTTATTTACCAACTGCTCATTTCCAAGTTCTACTTCTTCTTCATCAATAACATCAAACTTGACCTGTTAAATGTACCAGACTTAAGAGTGAAAACATAGCCTACTAGCAAGCTCTTGAGGGGTGGGAAAGGGGTCGGGAGAGAATGAGAGCTAGCGCTAGCTTTTTTCTTTGCCTATGGCCATCCCCCAAGGGCTTGCTCACAGGCCAGCTAGTTAAAACAAAAATATAACAGCTGTTGTATTAAAAAGGTTAAATACACGTACAGCACCATTACATACCAAAAGCATGTACAAGGACGTGAACAAAATCGGAGAAAACCATGCCGACAAGCAAAGTAAATCCCACTTAATGCTAAAACAATAAATAAATTAAATAACTAGAAAAAATGTACCTTATTTTCAAGCTTGCCAATGAGCTCTCTTAGTCTATCAACCTCCACGGACAAACCATGTCTCAATGCCTGCTGAGATGCTGTACGTGAATAGAATGATGTACATGTATTCATTAGCTAAGAAAAAAATGAACGCATTAAGGGACTTGTCAGAAATTAGCAGGGGGGGAGGGGGGGTGGAAACAGAGGGAGGGTCACAACTTTTTGAGACTGCAGAAAAGGGAGGGGTCATGAAAAATGGGCCGTTAAAAGGGGGAGGGTCATGCAAATATGTGTGATCATGTAGAGGTTCACCCACAGAAGAAAAAAGAAGTTCCTTATTTTGTAAAAAAAAAACTGGGAGAAATAGGAGAGTTGAGTGATCAGCTGTCAGAATCAGAGTCGGACTCAGCTTAATGCTGTCATCTAAAATGTATATATATGGCATTACAAAAACAGATTAGAAATATATTTTGAGCTTTCATAATACTGACTCACCCTAGTAGATTTTATCATTTATACTAGAAGGGGGGGGAGGGGTCATGATATTTTAGGCCAAGGTCAAGGGGAGGGTTAGCCAATTTCACTCCCATTGCAGGGATGGGTCATATCATTTCCGAACCCAAATTTAAAATTCCCACCCCCCCTCCCCCCCCCCTGCTAATTTCTGACAAGTCCCTAATTAACTAATACATAAAGATAAAGATGTGAAAGCAAATATGATTCTCACAGTTGAATAAACAACCTACGCGGCTGAAAAAGAACCTGAACATTTTCAAGGTTGACAGGGACAAGTAAACTGAAGCCTAGTTTTTTTTCAGGTCCTTTTTCAACTGCCTAATAGATTGTTCATTCAACCGCAAGGATCATACTCCTTTTCATTTGTTTAAATATTATTGACAGTTTTATTTTACATACCATCAAGACTTGTTTGCTGTGAAAATGAGTGCATTTTTCTCTTCATCCTTCCTCCTCTAATGTTCACATTTGTAACTTCAGCTTGACAGACATCAGGCCTTCTCAAATAACAACAAAGCAAGTCTTGAGTGTAAGGTCAAAGGATGAATGGTACCTTGACTACATGTATAACAGGTGAAGGTTTGTATTCCTATGAACTATAGCTGAGATTAGCAAATTTTATTACAGCAGAAAAAAAAAAATTCGGCATACGCCAGGGGCTACCGCACCTTGATTACACAGAGTTAATTTTTAAATCTTTATCAAGCAATGAAGATGATGTGAACTGCAGAAATACACAATTAAATGGAGATATAATTGTCGCAGTTGTAATTGCAGTTTAAGTAATTGCAATTACACCCCAAAAAATTTCGGGACCTCAACTGGATTCATTTAAATATATCTTCATTTAAATTTGTCTTTCCGCAGTTCACATCATCTCCATTGCTTCATTCCATTCATGGGTTAAGATGAACTCAACAAATTGACCTGCTCCCAATATATGGGTCTCCATAGTTCAATTGGTTAGAGCCTATTCACTTTCTTTTAATTGTTCTAAAACTCTTTGATTAGGAATAATTTTTACAATAAAGTTAAGAAGTTTGATTCCAAATATTACCCTGTTACCTGTGAACGTTTTGATCAATGAGCTGATGAAAACACATCTAATTACTACATTAATTAACAATTCATGAGATATATTTCAGCTTGCTTCGACTTTCGCGACAAACTATTAACAAAGTAGTTTAATTGGCCAGTGATTAAATTTTAGCTTTTGAAATACTGTATGTACTTGTATGGTCCTGCAAATAAAGCTTGTTGTTGTTGTCGTTGTTGTTAGAACACTAGGCAGTGGTAATGTAGAGGCCACGGGTTCAAATCCCGTTGAAGTCCCGGAATTTTTTTCAGGTTAATTTGCAATTGCTTAAATTGCAATTACGACAGCGACGATCGTATCCCCATTTAAATTTATAAGTCTTTATTCATAATTGAATTTAGTCGGTGGAAAATTAGAAGTTGTCATTATATTTTTGCTTTGGGATGGCTAATTAAGTGCACCCATCAGCATGCAAAAATTTTGCCTCCTAACATCAGACATGTATACCGTTTGTATTAAACACAAATTGTGTTTGTCAGGTCTCTAGACCAGTTCCTTTGCGTGCATTCCTTTGGGGTGGCCCGACTCAAGATTAGTGATCAGAGCCCAGGGGAGACTCTGATATGAAAGGGGCAGGGATGCTTGTCGTCCCGCTTAGGAATGTAAATTTCCGATTTTGGTCTCACTTAGGGTGTTCTGGGCAAAACGCTGCTATATTTAGCCGTAAAGGTCTCTTTTAGAGTTGTGTGCTAAGAAATATAAAAATATCTATATTTTTCAACTCATTTTATTTACTCCATTCACGTAATCAAAGTTTAAAATGGTCTCTTTTAGGGGTCAAAAACGGTTGGGCCACGCCTAGATTGGTCACCCTTTTCGACAAGCATCCCAGCTCCTGTTTCATGTGGTAGTCCCCTTCCCTCCCCGCCGTGGATCTGAGATCACTGCAGATCATGGTACATCAACTGAACTGACCGAAGTATATCCCTTACCAGGGTGGGTTAATGAGTTCCTTTGATGTACCAACTCTGATGATCCATGTTATCTCAGATGCTGATCTCGGTCAAGATTGTGCTAATAGAATGCACCCTTCATTAGACTCACCTTTGTTTTGTTTCATCTTCATCAATCTTGTCAACTGCAGCATTTATATGATGTTCAAGGCAACTCATTTGACCCTGAATCTGCGTAACATTAAAAAACAATAAATTATGGCAGTGACACAATGTCATGTAACATTAAAAACTAACAATATTAAAAACATTATTAATGCTTTAATAATACATGCAGGTGTCCTACTTGTTCTACTCATTGACCAAAAAATCAGAAACAATGACCAGTTCCTAAAAATATCATAACATGATTATTCCAGTTGTTCTGATACCTATTACTATTCACAAGAAGTTATATAAACATGATGTAGTTAATTTTTTTATCTTAGGTAACTTTTGTTTTTCTCTTGTTTTTGGGTATGCAAATGTATGTTAAAGAAGTTGAAACAAAGGAAACATAAAAATTGCTTGAGTTAAAAAATTAACTACAGCATATACATTGTGTATAAAATGCGGCGAAACTGCCTCCTAAAAGACTCTAGGGATTTCTTTTATAGTTTAACTCCTAAGTAACTTGAATTACTTGCAAAATAAGACATCATGTCTTTACCACATTCGACACACATATAGAAAATGTAAAATGTAAAAATAAAAATGTTCTAGAAGTCACCCTAGTCGTCCAAGTCACCCTAGTCATCCTAGTCAACCTAGGCATCCTGATCACCCCAGTCACCCAAGTCACCCATGTTACCCAAGTCACCCTAGTCATCCAAGTCACCCTAGCCCCCAAGTCACACTGGTCACCCTAGTCACCCTAGTCACCGTACTCGGTAGTCACCTTGGTCACCCAAGTCACCCTAGTCATCCTAATCACACTAGTCATCTCGATGACCCACTAGGATGACATGGGTGACTTGTGTGACGAAGGTGACTTGGGTAACTAGGGTGACAAGGGTGATGTGGGGGACTAGGGTTACTTGGGTGACTAGGGTGACAAGGGTTACTTGGGTGAGTAGGCTGACTTGGGTGACAAGGGTTACTTGGATGACTAGGGTGACTTGGGTGACAAGGGTGACTTGGGTGACAAGGGTGGCTTGGGTGACTAGGAGTAGGGTGACTAGTAATGACAGGATTACTAGGATGACTAGGTAGCGAGAAGAGTGGATGGGGATATGTTATTATTTATCATTAAAAAAATAGTGCCCAAAAGGTGTTAGTGGTTTGTAATTTTTGATATAATGTGAAAATAGCTTTTACCTCATTTAAGAGAAACCTTGTAGTGAATTTCCCAATAAAGGATTTGCCAGGATATTCCTGAAAAAAAGAAATAAGATAAGGAAAAACCAATAATATTCCAGTCGCACTTTGTGGATATGGGATGATTATAGGCACCTCGGTGCCACACACCTCAGTGACTATCCATCTCATATCCAATGCACACTTGTAGAATAATAATTGTTAATTTTTAAAAAATGAATCATTGAATAATGCAATTCTAGAGCTCTGATTGTTTTAGCCATCATGGTATATGAGCCATTATACCATGCTCTCCAAATACATGTATGGTAACTGTATGCGTCGGCTCAAAATTAAAAGCAAGCCGAAAATCAATTAATTAATTCAATTAATCAATTAATTAATTTCAAAAACTTATAAGGCGCAAATATCTATATAAATATATTCAAATGCGCCATAGGGAAAAAAAACAAAACAAAACAAAACAAAAACATTAACAAAACAATAATACTACTAATAATAAAAATTATGAATAATTGTGATAGTAAAAATGATAAAATAAGATGATAATATAGATATAGAATAGAAAAACTAATGGCTAAAAGTTAAAAAGGTAAAATCTGTTAGCAAAATCTTAAAATTATAAGCTGAAAAATAATTATTTATAGTCTAGTAAGCTAAAAATACAATCTTATAATCTAAGTGGTACAAAATGCTTTTTTAAAAAGGTGAGTCTTCAACTTTCTCTTAAAAGTGTCAACTGAAATGGATTCCGTAATAAATCTTGGCACAGCATTCCATAGCTTAGGTGCAGCAAATCAGTTATTTTTACAAATAAAGTCGGGAAGAATTCTCAAAATTTTGTGGACATTATTTTTTAATGATACAATAATTATTATTTCCACTCGCACTTGTTGGATATGAGATGATTATAGCCAACTAGTATCTAACACGAACTCATGAAATAATTGTTAAATAAACAGGGCTTCTGATATTTCCCGCGATCGCGGACCCGCGAAATTCAGGTATTTCCGTGAAATTCCCCAAAAAACGCGAAATACCGCAAAATCCGCCAGAAATTATTATTTTATTCACCCGAAACGTCCAAATTTAGCTTGAAACTTCGTCACTGCAACGAGCGAACAATGTCCCAAAACTACCAGGCGTTTTTAGATGAATGTTGCGAAAAACTGGGCACTAACCATAATGTTAATAGCTTTAGCATTTGCTCATTTCTGTTGAAAGAGCAATTATTATGATTATTCCTGTTTAAAAAAACGTTCACCAACGCTGGTCATATCGACGCAAAATTGATCGATTTTAGTGAAACTTGCCAAAAAAATCCAGCGAAATCGTGAATCTTGGTGAAGATTCCCCCCGAAATTTTACCGTGATATCAGCTGATTTTTATAACAATTTGCCCCTGAAAATCCTTCAAAAATTGACTTTTTTCCGCTAAAGTCCCGCAAAATTGGCAGATTTTTCTGCAAATTTTGACTTTTCTCCCGCGAAATCGGCCAACTGTTCCGCGAATTTTGACTTTTTTCCCGCAAAAATCCTGCGAAATCGGCCGATTTTCCCGCGAATTTGCCCCTGAAAATCCTGCAAAATTTTGCTTTTTTTCCGCGAAATATCAGAAGCCCTGAATAAAGCCTACATCTAAAACTCTTACATTGTGTGCTATAAGAAAAATAAATAACAAAAAATATACCTTTGCTGACTCCACAAGAGCATTGCTAACAGCTCGGTTCATGCTTTCCAAATTAGCAAATATTTCAGAAAAAGGCCCCATCTCCTTCATGAAGTAATCTGCACAATTTAGAAAAAAATATTCAGGGCTCGAAAAAAGTCGCATCTGGTAGTCCAGGACAGGTAGATTTTTTCACTGGGCAGCTGAAAGCTCACTTGCAAAATGGGCAATGATCCAGGCAAGTCATTCTCTAATAAAATCATGAACTAAGATGAGCAAGAAGTAGCCCTGGGTAAGCAAAACATGAGATACTTGCCTAAAGAAAAGCTGCAATTCAAGTTTTTTCCAAGCCCTGATACTACCTTGTTATTTTTGTTACATAACAAGAGTTTTTTTACTTTTATAATAAATTATTTATTAGAACTCCACAGTTAAGTTTAGGTCTAACATACAGTAAAAATTATTATTTTGAAGTATGATAAAGAGAAAAAATAATAAACCATAACACAGGTTCAAGATGGAATCCATCAGGAAATTGAGTAATTTAAATTTTTAGTGGACAAAAACCTTGTACCAGAATAATATTTAAACAATAGTGTATTCTTCTTTACATTTTTTAAGGGCTATAGATATAATATTAAAAAAAGTTATCTGTAATAACACCAAAGACCATTTCTCATGCCAGGGGCCAGAGAAAATAAATGTTAAAGGTTAAGCAACAAATGACAGTAGTTTTACATACCGCACAGCTCAGAAGTGTCTAAGTTACTGAAAAGAAAAAGAATAAATGAAATTTGAGATTGGAAAAGACTATTAATTAAAAATGAAATTCAAATCAACTCAATCAGTAAGCTTTCCCGGCATGAACAAGAAGTCAAAGCAATCTTCAAATCTGTTGAAGAAGAGGCAGCAGGGCAGGGGTCCGAGGAAGCCTTCAATACTCGTAAGTTAGATCTGCCGAAATTTAGCC